AGAGGGAGAGAAAAGGGAGAGAAGAGGAAGAGCCTGAAGAGCTTCTGCAGAGGAAACGTGACGCATGCAACGCTTCATATTCACGTTGAGGAAAATAAAGAAACTCAAAGAATTAAAATGCCATTCTTGTCAAAAATAATCCAAAAAACATCGTAGATTAAGATTAAAAACCTAAATATATATTTTAAGATATATAGGCTATCATTTATTTCGGAAACATTTGTTGATGTTTATGAAAAAAGACGATAAGCAATATTCGGAGCAACTTCCAAAATAAATATATATTTGTAAAAGTCTCATGTCGGAGCAGAAACATGCTTGGTTAGCGTTGAAGCTAAATCATTCAGGCATTAACACATATACTTTAATCACTTATTAAATCACGATGCTAGCGAAGGAGTAAATAAAAGCGTCTTATAAATAATGTGCAAACGGGAATAAAAGAGTAAACTACAGGAAGGGAAGAGCGATGGAAAAACATTTGAACACCTCGAGAGCATTCAGCTGAAGACGATGACTTTTCAATTCTGCTACATGCATCAGTTTATATTTACGTTTATCAATATGATCAATTCTGGAACAAATATAATCTGAACCTGTCGCATTAGGACTGAAAACATAAACATATGTTGTGTAGAAATATTGTTTTAAATGTAAGAATACGTTGTGGAGACATGCTGATACTGTAAGAACCTGAGCTATTGATTAGGCTCAAACACTCAATGATGTCATAATCAATACTGTATTCTGCATCAGTTTATATTTACCTTGATCAATTTGATGATTTTGAACGTTTTTTTATTTTAAATATTGAATTGAAAACGTAAATATATATTCTCTAGAAGGTATATGTTCTGGAAACATGCTTATTGAGCATTGTTTCTAATATATATTTGTATTGATTTACCTAGCTGCTCGTCCTCTGCGCAGAACAGAAAGAGAAACGTGTTATTGGACTTCCTTAATCATTCATAAAGAGTTCCAGTTTACGACAGCGTCCTCAGGGCTTTGAACGCATCACAACATCTCACTAAGACATGATGCTGTGCAGGAGGCGTGAAGAGGGGGAGGAAGGGAGGAGGAAGGGAGGAGGACGGGAGGAGGAAGGGAGGAGGAAGGGGGGAGGAAGGGAGGAGGAAGGAAGGAGGACGGGAGGAGGAAGGGAGGAGGAAGGGGGGAGGAAGGGAGGAGGAAGGGAGGAGGACGGGAGGAGGAAGGGAGGAGGAAGGGAGGAGGAAGGGAGGAGGTGTTTTGGTACATTTTTATTTTCCTTTCAGGCAGGCAAGTACATGAGGTGTACCCAATGCAAGAGGTTTCTCTGCATTACGAAACAGAAGATACCCTTCCAGGAGTATCACTGTTTAAAATGCAAGAAAGAAATTAAGAATGATGAAGGAAACACTCAAAGGACATCAAATGATACGAAATTCTAGTATTAGTTGTTGAGTGGCAGCCTAGTTTGGGCGATGTTAAGAGATCTTGCATAGGCTTGAATACATACTGTGTTACAGTACACATACTCCCCCTCAGACTGTGTGTAGTCTGTGATATTGGACTGTATAATAAACATTTGATTGATTGAGGTGTGGATGTACCTGAGCAGGAAGGGAGCAGGAAGTGAAGAGGAAGTAAACAGGATGTACCTGAGCAGTTGCGTGCGTAGTTCAGGTTCTCCAGCGGGTGCCCGGGCAGACGGCACTGGAACCGGTACTGCCAGAACTCTGGAAACCACGGGTTCCTGGTGTTGGTGCTGAGCTTCAGTTTCATGAAGTATTCATCGAAGGAAGAGACCTCGTCAGACTGGAGCTTCACCGTGAGACCCCCCACGGCCTCCTGCTCGTATCCCTCCACCACCTCCACCCGATCTGCCCAGCCGTCACTATAAGAGAGAAGAGAGGAAAATAAATGTCAACATTTCTGGAAAGAAAAGTCAAAATTACAAAAAGGTGTTTTTGGGAACATTTGGTGACATTCAGATCGTTATTTTTCCAGATATAAAAAGTTTAGTTCCAAATTTAGAAAAAAGTGAATTTAGAACATGGGATAAGGCCGACACCATCAAAGAGGTAAAAGTCAAAATTCTGAAAGAAAGTAACATTCTGAGAAAAAAGCCACATTTCAGAGAAAAGTAAAAATTCTGGTAAAAAAGTCAAAATCGTGGAAAAAAGTCAAATTTCTGCAAAAATTCTGAGAAACGACCTTTAAAGATCTGCACTGTTAAATGAAAACCTGTCGTCACGCGGCAGGTGAACGGGTCAATATAACAGAATGAAACCCCCCCACTTCATTACTGACATTAACACTATTATTTCTTACATTACACGTTTCCTGATATTTAAATATGCAAATTCGTTGTAATATAATGTTAGTTTGAATCTTCCTGCAGCCTCTCTGCTCACAGAGACTCGATCACACCTCTGCTGAGATCACAGCTCTGCGTGTGACTCTGTGACGCTCAGAGTTTAGAGTTCACATGCTGTTTAAAATCCTCTCTGCATTTTAAATCCTCCTGATGCAGTCTGAGGAGACACATGCTCCTGTTTCTCATCAACACAGCTTCTCATCTGTGTTCCAGATGCAGAGTTACTGGGACGAGAGGAGAGGAAGGAGGGTCTTAGAGAGCAGCGAGACAAAGATCATCTGGAAGAAACACAACTCAGATATCATGAATAATCCTCTGCTCACAAACCTCTCATTATTATAAGACATCATGAATAATTTGCAACTCATGGTAAGGGAAGTGTGAAGGCTCTATATCTACAGAAATACCAGCGTTCACACACACACAGTTTGGCGATGAAATAAAGCAAAGAAGCTGCTTTGTGTCTCTGGCAGAGGACGACTGAGCGGACCCTTTCTGTCCAGCATGAAGCACCTGACCATCTGCTGCCCAGCATCACACACACACACACACACACGCACACGCACACGCACACACACACACAAATACACACACACACACACACACACACACACACACACACACACACACACACACGCACACACACACACACACGCACACACACACACACACACACACACTCACTAACACACAAACACGCACGCACACACACACACATGCACGCACGCGCAAGTGCACGCGCACATGCACACACACACACACACACACACACACACACACACACACACACTTTGATGTTAAGCTGGGGGTGCTGTCCCATATTACCCGGCTGCCTGTGATCTGACAGCGATGCATTATTCATGAACAACGACTCAAAGCATCTTCAGCTTTCAGAAGAAACACAATGTCTGTTCACTGAGAACTTAAAACACATCATCTATACTGAGTGGGAAGGATTTCTATAAAATGAAGCATAAAACTCACAGAATTGTTGTAATTCTTAAAGGTCACCTATCACGCTATGTTTAGGCAACAGCATAGGTCTCAGATATATAGAATTATATAAAAAACATGTCTATGAAGTGTTTTGCTCCAAATACCAAACAGATCCCCCATTCTAGCCATGCCTCATATCCCTCTATTTCACTTCCTGTTTCTAAAGTGCTGATTTGGGGTATAAAGCTTTAACAAATAAAAAAGGAGGGGTCTGAGCTCATGGGGGACCCGGCAGCTACTGTCTAAACTAAATGCTGCCGTGATGAAACGCCATATCATGGATTATCAAGGATTCTCTCTGAAACAGTATGGAGCTCAAAGGCTTTCTCTCTTGCCGGTTATACCACAAGGTGAGTTCCTTTTTATTTCCTGCTTCTTCACACACATGCTCTCCAGTACAGGTTAGCTCTGAGTGTTAGCGATGCTAATGTAAACACCGACCATATTACGTCCAAAACAGTCGGGCATTGTTTCTGATAGCAACGTTTCTGATAGGGCCGTGGGTCCACATTTCAGATATTACGTCATATCGGACGCTAATCTGGATCAGCTCCATTGTTCCCCCGTTTTTAGAGATTTGGGTACGGAGGAAAAGAGAGAGGGTTTTATTTTCTGATGCTGCGTGAGTTCCCCGACACACCGGGGACACATGGTGATGTAGAGAAGACATCACAAAGTGCATTTTGCATGATAGGTCCCCTTTAAGGAAACTACAGGATAAAACTCACCCAATTTGTGTAATTTTAAGGAAAATGCCATTTGTGTGTTCACGTTTTTTTGTCTGATTGTCTGAAGGATTACAGAAAAGCTCCTGGACTGATCTTAATGAAACTTGGCGGGAGTGTTAAACATGGACAAAAATAAATGTAATTCTAAGAAAAGTCAACATTTTAAGAATAAAATCATTTGTGAAAAAAGTTATAATTCTGAAAAAAAAGACAAATACAAATTCTGGAAAAAGGTCAAAATTCTGAGGAAAAAAGAAAAGATTCTGACAAAAATATAAGTTCTTGGAAAAAGTCAGAATTCTGAGAAAAAGTAAAAATTCTGAAAGAAATTCAAATAAGCCATAATTAAAAAAAAAAGTAATAATTCTGAAAAAAAGTTCAAAATTCTGAGAAAATAAAAAAGCCTCAGTAAACTTAAAGAGAGGTATATTTCATCATCTCGTACCTGCCGATGAGCAGGAACTCCCCTGCGACCCCCAGCCTCCTCATGGCCGCCAGCAGGCCTCGAACCGTCATTCCTTCACAGAAACACACCACCACCCGCGCTTTGGGGAGACGCTCTCTCAGCTTCCTCAGCAGCCGGTCGAACTGCTTCTCCCCGGCGTTACTGTAGATCTTATCAGAGTGAGCGATGCAGAGTCCGTCCTGAGACGCCAGCTCTTTAAAAACCTCCATCCCACTCTCTCCGTAGTTTCCTGCAGACACAGCAGGGTCACAAAGGGTTAAAGGTAAGGTAAGGTACATTTATTTAAAAAGCACATTTTCAGACATCGATGATCTGCGTCAATTTATAGTCTAATTTAAAGTGGACCTATCATGCTATATTTGAATAATATAGTGTTGGACCATACCTATATAAGGCATATTTATACTTTTATTTTTCAAAATACCAAACAGATCATGCATTTTAGCCATGCCTCATTTTGCTCAATTTGACAATTTCTAGCTCTGTTTTAGCAAGGGCTGATTCTGTGAGAACAGCACCATCTACTGGCCTGGCATATGTACTACAGCGTCTCCAGCGCTTTCGAACGGCAATGGCCGTGGCTGTCTCCTCCTGATTGGTGGAGTTGGCCCAATAGCCGTAGCGCCACCGTCCTGACGTCAGGACAGTGTTCAAATCTGGATCAGTTTGTATCAGATCCGTTGCAGCCCCTTTTTTAGAGATTTGGGTATGGAGGAAAATAGAGAGGGTTGTGTTTTCTGACACTTGGTGAGTTCCCTGGAACACCGGGGACACATATTCATGTAGAAAAGACGTACACAAGTGCATTTTGCATGATAGGTCCCCTTTAAGTTAAATGTGGGATGGATGTCTTTTGATTCTTGTGGGATTTAGATTTTTTGGATTTATATATTTTTTCTCGTATACTTTTAAATACTTTTTTGAACCAATAAGAAGCCTAATAATGATGGTCAGACAGACAAACTATTAAAAGGTGTACAAATACCCCCTCTTACCCTCTGTGTGTACGGCAGAGACGTAGGTCCAGTTGTAGCGCTTCACGATGTCGATCAGCGCGCGCGCCTGCAGAGTGTCGGAGGGAACGACCCGCAGGAAGTACTTGAACAGCGTCTTGTCGCTCAGATCGATGCTCGTGGCAGAGTAGGCGATCTGAGGGATGTTGAACAGCTGAAGAAGGTTCTGGACCTGGATCGCCACAGAGCTGGAACCAGGCCCGATGACACCTAAAAGATATGGAAAGGACTGTTATTTTGTTTTTATTTCGTTTCTGTTGTGTCATTGTGATGTGCTATATGTGACATGTATGTAGTAACGTGTGTTGTTTGCATTTTATTGTTCTCTCTTATCCTTTCGCCTCTATCTACTTGTCTTTTGTTGGGAAAATACTGAGTGTACTCTTCCAATATGAGAGTACACATGATAACAAAGGTATCCCAACTGTAGCTGTGTTCATGACAGGATGTATGATTACCTAGAAGAGCATCAGGACTGTTTGAGGCATATGATAGCTATGTGATTAACATGATGATTCAGCCTCTATGGAGATAGACATATGACAAGCATGCTCATTTCTGACGTGGAGCTAATCTGAAGTAAACATTGAATACTGCTTTCTATTCCTCCATCTTGTGACTGTGTAACTCCCTCTCTTGGATATCAGCATGTGAAGGACACTGTTCAGGAACTAGTTGATGCTCTGTATGTGATGACTACTTCCATTCTGGAGAGGATCACAGATACATGGATCCTGAGATTGAAGCTCAAGCTGGAGACCAGGGAGAGTTTCCTAACTGTGGGAATCAGTATTTCAATCTCTCTGTCTGTACACACGAACTGAAAGATTGACAATAAAGTTGACTTTGAATTTGACTTGACACCTGCGATGGGTTTCTTAGTGGGCGGCGGCTGAGAGGACGGCGATCCTTCGATGCACCAACGAGATCCTTCGTTTTCATCCCGAATGGAAATCAACGAGTCACGGATAAACTCAATACTTTGCTCCAACGCCACGGATGAATGCCAGCAAGAATCCCTGATCTCACATCCCAGCGAGATGTTGGGAAGCAGATTTGGATCCGCATTAATCCGGTCCAAAGCGTGAAACATGGCCTCCACTCGCTGGATACCGTATTGTTCTCGAACTTCTCCACATTTCCTCTCCGCCACTTTCTCCGCAGACGGCTGGTGGTGCACGGAGAACAAAGCGCCAATGATGATGTCTCCGTCCATTCGAGCGACGAGGCGAGAGGCAGAGCCAGGAGTCGCCGAACGCTCGTATTTTCCATCGTCAGACAACAAAAAGGAGTCCGAGAGGAGGACGGGAAGAAAGAGGAGGAACAGGAGGAGCTTCATGTTGGACATCGTGGAGAAGAGAGGAGAGTCATGGCCGCCGATCCATCATGGAGGTCCATAAATCCACTCAGGAATAAAAAAGGGTTTAACTCTGATCCTCCAGCGGCGTCGCCCTGAGAGGAGAAGCGTGATTAGTCGATTAAAAGAATGAATTAGCAACTATTCGGTTCAACATGCACATAAAACAATCTCTGGTTCCAGCTTCTTAAATGTGCTGCTTTACTTTCTGTTCTTTAAAGGCCGAGTGATATAGAAATATCATATCGATAACGTGACGAGACAAGATATCTCTTAAGTTCTGGAATGTGCACACAGAAAAGAAGACAACTGAAATCGAGATAATAACATATTTGTCTTATACCAACTAGACCAGCGGTTCTCAACTGGTCAGGCCTCGGGACCCACTTTTTACTTTGTCAATACCCACCATTTTGAACCACTCAAATCTATTCAACAAAAAATAGTGCTGTAATATATATACGCTTTTCAGCATACAATATTAATTAAAGTGAAGTACAGTGCATACATCCGTTCACAGAACCAAAGTATGCTTTTAAAAAGGTTTAATGAGATGATGGAATCAAAGCTGAACTGTATAACATAAAAAGGCACTCATGCTGAAAACCCAACCCCAGAAGGGGGTCTGGGGGGATTCTCCCCCAGGAGATTTTTAGAAATACTAACATAAACTACGCATTCTATTACTACCCGACATATTAATAATATTTTCTGCCATTGTTTGTTTTTCACGGGCCTTCAAAATAAAAGTAAGTTCACTCACACATCCGCGACCCACTCGAAACGGATCCGCGACCCACTTTTGGGTCGCGACCCACCAGTTGAGAACCACTGAACTAGACTGTTGCTTCACTGGGTCATCACAGAAATCAAAAAATTAAGAAGATGTAACATATCTCGTCTTTTGATATTGCTCACAAGTGTTTGGAAAGTTCTTATTCGTTAACACTTGATTATTTGTTTTATTGGACAGATCTGAGTTTCTCCCAGAGCTGGAAGAAGCACGGTCAAAACACTCCATTACAAGTAAAAGTCCTGCATTCAAAATTGTACTTAAAGGTCCCACATTGTACTCTTTCTCAACTCTATATCCCAGGTCTCAGATATATCCAGAGCCTGTCTCTGATTGGCTGAAACACCAAACAGATCATTGCAGCATTACCCATAATCCCCTCTGTTTCAGCCCTGTTTCCAAAGTGCTGATTCTCTGTCTGTTACTTTAGATGAAAATAAGGAGCCCCTCCCCACGCCCCTCTGAGAGAGATTTGGTTAAAAAGAACTCAATGGTGCTCTAGGAGGAGATTCAGGTGATAAGGTGGGGGGGGGGGTTACCTTGGTTGGTGATTGGCTAATGGTTACACAAGACAAAACATCGTTATGACATCATCAAGTGGCCAAAAAAACATGTTGATGTAGAAGAGACATGAAGAAGAGGGGACACATGTTGATGTAGAAGAGACATGAAGAAGAGGGGACACATGTTGATGTAGAAGAGACATGAAGAAGAGGGGACACATGTTGATGTAGAAGAGACATGAAGAAGTGGATGTTGCATGATAGGTGACCTTTAAATAAGAGTAAAAAAGTATTAGCATTAGAAAAGTACAGTACTTGAGTAAATGTACTTATTTACATTACACCACTGGTTTCTCCATATATAAACATGCCTTTGAATATACAACAGATAAGTCCTTCAGCATGATCACCAATCTACTAAAGAAATATTAGAAACACTTAAAGGACAGATTAGTAAACTAAATGGAAAACAGACAGAAAACTTGCGTCCAAAACATAGAAAAGCTTGGGAGTCCTGCTGCTGTAATTAGATATATCATCATGCACATGGTACACATCAGCAGGGAGCATGTTACACATCAGCAGGGATCATGTTACACATCAGCAGGGAGCATGTTACACATCAGCAGGGATCATGTTACACATCAGCAGGGATCATGTTACACATCAGCAGGGAGCATGTAACCCCTAGATTCCACCGGGTCCGTCTGCGCTGCATTACGGCTGCGCCGTGGTTTTGGTCCGGCCTCCTCCGGCGTCATACCCTACCAGGCGCGTTTCAGAAGCATTTCAGAAGCAGTTTTTGTTGATTTGGGCATATTTCCTGGACAGGCTACTTTGTACAGACAAAGTTAATAATAATTGTAATATTCCAGTTATAAACGACATGAATCAAAGATGTGTTGCTGTATTTTAGTGGTAAAAAAATGCATTCATCATCATCATTATTCTATATATATATAATTTACACAGTGCCTGTAAACCGGAGGAGAATGCTGGCATTTCTCCTCCTACTTGAAAGACTACGGAGGGATAGGGTCTGCAAAATTAGTTTGTGTGTGTGTATATATCTATATATATATATGCTATATATGCTCTGAACGTTCCACTTCCTGCCTGCAAAAATAGGATTCATCCTAATTTTAGAGGAGCCCTGCGCCGAGCCGCTTCTGGGACGCTTCTGAGCCGTAACGCGCCGCGTGTGGTGGAATAGCACCCATTGACTAGAGTGGCCGCGATCGCCGTGAGCGCCGCGGCGCAGCCGTAACGGGGCCGTAACGCGCCGCAGACGGACCTGGTGGAATCTAGGGGTTACACATCAGCAGGGAGCATGTTACAAAGACAAATCGAGTTAAAGGGCCCATGTCATGCTTTTCCGGTTATTACCCGTCCCCTTGTGTGTTATGAAGGTTGTTCTGCATGTAAACGGTCTGCAGAGTCAAAAACCCTCAAAGTACACCCTGTAGCGAGTAAAACTCTAACACTGTCTATGCTGCCCCAAAACGCCTCGTTGGAGATTTCTCATTTTCCATTGTTTACTTCCTGGGTATAGTGACGTGTGAATACCCAGAGGCCACACCCTCTGCCAGCCTTTCACGAAACAAAGCTTCCCAAACCTTTCAGCGATTCATGCCGGATATGCACAGCGTAGGGCACTGAAGAACGATGCTGTTCCTACTTTGTTTGGACCAGCGGGAGATTTGGGTACACAACCTGTAAGTATTCATTGTTGTTTGTGTATTTATGATGTTTAAAACAAACAAGGTATCTACCACGACTGTT